CAAGAGAGAGGGGCACTGGAGCGTGTCCTGCCAGCCCCGGAGCCAGGGCCAGGAGCTCAGCTGAGGGAGGCGGGGGCTGCCCGGGGAACACGGTCCGGCAGCAGGACAGAGCCTGGAAAGGAGCCACGGGTGCTTTGGTGGCTTCCTCAGCCTCGGGACACAGCCTGGCCAGGATGGGAACATCGTGATCAACAGCACTGACACCCAAGCCAGGTGCTACAACCTGCCCATGAGCAGCTGTTTGTCCCCTGGATGTGACAGGTGCCCTGTCCCAACCCCAAAGTGGCCTCGAGCTCCCGTCCAGCAGCACCAGGGTCCAAGTCTCTCCTTAGGAACGGCTCTGTCATCTGCCTGGGCTCAGTAGCCATCCCCACCCAGCCCTGCCTTGGCTGGGGATCCTGGAGGATGAGGGTGACATTTCTTTTGTCTCATGGAATTGATTCCTTTATTCTGCTCTCATCCCTGAGTGTGGGAAGGCCCTGGGAATTCAGCTGTGAGCACCACGTTATTACATGGATGTGTGTCCCTGGAAGGGAAGGCACAAAAGCCTTGAGCAGAGCCACAGTGTGGGGGAAACCATCAGCCTCCTTCCACATCGTGTTCCTCAAACACTTGCCATGCTTAGGAAACAGGAGATTGGCTTCTTCTTTGGATAGCCCAGGTTTGGCAGGCAAAAAACAGTGAGGGTGGGCAGGCCCTGGCACGGGGTGTCCAGAGAAGCTGTGGCTGCCCCTGGATCCCTGGAAGTGTCCAAGGCCAGGCTGGATGGGGCTTGGAGCAGCCTGGGACAGTGGAAGGCGTCCCTGCCCATCTAATCTGAGCCATTTGATAATTTTATGATCAAAACCAGTTCAGAGCTGCTGCTGAAAGTCTCCCTCCTGCCAGCAGGAAAGTTGTTCATCCTCGGGGTCCTGGGGGTGAGAGCGTCCAGCCAGGAGTGCTCCCAGCCCTGGGACCCTCAGCAGTGTCAGTCCCCAGGTAAGAGGGGGTGCAGGCACTGGGACAGCTCTGCCTGCAGGGCTGGCACCCATTTCCAGAGGCTGTTTGGAAGGGCTGGAGTCAGCAGGAGCCCCAGACAGCAGGTGAGTCAGGAGCTGCTCAGTGCTGAGGGCGGAGAGAGCCTCCCATGGCCCTCCCTATTTCTGCTCTCATTTCCATGCAGATTACAATGAAATATCACCATCCCTACGAGGGAAGATAAATACAACTGGAACAGGCTGGGCTGAGCACAGCAACCCTGCTGTCCAGCTACACCCTGACGTGGGCAGCTTGACAGAACTCTGAGCTTTCAGCCAGATCCTAATCTCTCCCAAACCTGAATTACCGTAGCCAGAGCCCAGCCCTTGTGCCCTCTACCCTGCCACAGTTTCACTCCAGTGTCATTAAAAGCAGCATGAGAGAATTTCATGCAGTGGGAGCTGTGGCTCGGGGAGCTCTAAGGACATTTACAGATCAGGGCTGTGGCCTTCTGGAGGATTCATTCAGTTTAATCCCAGCAGGGCTGACATGGGAGAGCTTTTTATGAAATTTATATAAATGGGCATTGAATGGGGATGGAATTGAGAGCAGCAGTGGGTGGTCACTGCCTGCTGTGCTGATTGTCCATCCCAGTGGTGGGATGCAGTGAGCAGGATCTGTGCTCAGGTCCCCTCCTCACCCAGCTCCCCTGTCCCTGGCCAAGCCATCCCACGGGGGAAGCCCCTGGCATGGGAAGGTTTCCTGACAGGAGAGCAGCACCCCTGAGCAGGACAGAGCTTCCCATCCACCCTCCCAGCGAGGATCAGGCTCCCGGGACAAATTCCCAGCAGGAGCCTCCCCAGGGAACTCAGTCACCTGGAGCAGTCAAAATCCAGGAGTGTCTGAACATCCTCTCTTGAAGGGATTAAGGAAACAGCCTCCCTGCTTGGAAAAAAGGAAACTTGAGAAATCCAAGGGATTTTCTACCACCTGCCAGCAAGCACAAGATCTTTGCACATCCTGGAGAAACTGATCTGAGGGAGGTTTGCTTTTCCCAGTGAGGGTGCAACCTAATGAGAAGAGAGAAAGAAAAAGGAATAGAGGAAAAAAAAGTCCAGTTTTTAGCAGCAAAGTTTTCATATTACAATAATTATCATCATATTTGTCGGTTGAGAACATCTCTTAATAAAAATACCCCAACAAATCACAACTGAAATACTAAGAAAAATCACCAAAACTCTAAGAAAGCAGAAGAGAGAAAAACCTGAACCCTAAAAATCCCCCTAAGCAAATATATTGGGTATTCAGAAATACCCAAACCCCTCTGAAATCAAGGTCTTGAGGTCAGAACTGTGATACATGGATGAAGTGCTGTCTGCCATGGCACAGCTGCTTCCTCCTGGTCCCTCAGCTGGACCAAAACCCGTTCCCATTCCCAGTGGGAATGACCTGGGGTCCTTCACACCACCCAGGCAATGGCACTGACATAAAACAACTCTTCTGCCGAGCACAGCTTTCCATGAGAGAGATCATTTTTTCCTTCCTGACCAGAGAAAGTTAAACTTCTCCAGAAATGGCAAAGCCAGTTTTTCCAGGCTTTTTTTTTTTTTTCTCAAACAAAGCCTTATCTATTCCAGCAGAACAGCTCTGCAGTTCCCCCCTCTGCTGCAGCCCCACTGGGGCTGTGCCCTGGGCACCTTCGCTCCTGGCTCTGCTCAGTCTTGTGTGTGCTGCCCATCCCAGCTGGGCTCTGGCCAAATCCTGCCCTTCTCCCTCCCCAGCTCTGCTCCATGCTCCAGCCATCCCCCCCAGCCTGGTTTTTGGCCCTGGCTTCATTTGTCTTACCCTGCCAGCAGCTCTGCTCCAAAGCCTGATGCACCCATGGCTCTTCCCAGAAGCTTCCCAAAAGAGCCACGTCCTGTCAATCCCATCCAAACACTTCTCCTGGGACAGCCAAGGCGCTGCTTTGTGCTTCTCCTGCACAGAATCATGGAATGGGCTGTGTTGTAAGGGACCTTCAAGCTCATCTTGTCCCACCCCCTGCCATGGCAGGGACAACTTCTCCTGTCCCAGGCTGCTCCAAGCCCCATCCAGCCTGGCCTTGGACACTTCCAGGGATCCAGGGGCAGCCACAGCTTCTCTGGGCACCCTGTGCCAGGGCCTGCCCACCCTCCCAGGGAACAATTCCTTCCCAATATCCCATCCATCCCTGCCCTCTGGCACTGGGAAGCCATTCTTCCTTTTCCTGGTGCTCTAGCATCTTCACCCTTGCAGCAGAAGAAGGGCACAGGGAAGCCAAACTCCTCCATCCCCTGGCATGGAGATTTCAGCCAGGGTTCAGCTTTCCCTGTTTGACATCCAGCTGGATGCAGGCACTGTGCTCCTCCTCTGGTTTATCCACACAGACCCAGCTGTGGAGGGCACAGGTTAACAAGTCTGATGTTCTCACATCAGTGATGTCCAAGCTGGTTGATGAAGTGGCACCAAAGTAACAAGTACAGAGAAATAAATACACAAATAAGAGAGATCTTACAAGAGAGGTTCCCATTCTCTCTTATTTCTCTGTTTATTCCTGCACAGTTGTTACCCCTGCATTTCCCCAGCAGTGGGGTGAGCGCAGCACACACTGAGCTCCCTGCCCAGGGCAGGAGGGGGGGCACAGGAGCAGCTCCCCCACGCTGCAGTTTTGAGCTGCAGCTCCCTTGGGAGTTTTTATGAGAGTTCCCTGTCCCACAGCCTCAGCTGGTGACTCTCACATAAACCACAGAGGTGGAGAGAGCAAACAGCTTCTCTGGTGTGTCAGGAGAGCCGAGCCATGCCCACATCACATCCCAGCAAGTCCTTGCTTGCTCTGAGCATTTTTTTGCCCTGGTCATCCAAACACTGCACATGGAAGCAGCAGTTTCTGGGACAGGACTATTCAGTTTCTGAATCATGGGAAAACCATCCCCTCCAACACAGGGAATTGCCATTTTCTGGTACTCTGCCCCCTCTTTCCCCCAGCCCCCTGAGAAGGGATCTCACAGCCCCACGGGGCTGGAGGGTGGCTCTGCCCTGGCCCTGGGCTCTTGCAGCCATTGAGGGCAGGAGCTGGGGAGGGGTGTCCAGGGCAGCACCCCCGGCTTGGGAAGGGGCTGGCAGGGCACAGGTGATACCAGGGATGAGGAGAGCCTGTGGCTCCAACCTGAGAGAGGAGCAGAGTGAAGGGGACGAGGGGCTCACCCTTGCCTGGACACATCATCCTCATCCCAAACTGGCTCAGCAGAGCTGGCACCTGATGGAGAGGGTCAGGGCTGGGCTGTTGCACTCGCTGCTTCCAGCACCTGAGATCAGTTTTGCTGATGCAAAGTGAGCACAAAGGCTGGGTTGAGGCTCCAGGCTCAGTTCTGCTCTCCAGGTCCACAGCCTGAACCACAGCCATGGATCAAAAAAAAAGCCTGGCTTAGGTTTATTTTCTCCCTACACTTTAGAGGTTTCAGTCAAAACTAGAACTAGAAAAACCTCAGACTTCTTCTGGGTTTTAGGATGGTTTTCCCATGCATGCTGCAGATCCACTGAAACTGTGAAGATCCATCCTTGGACTTGCTGGAGTCACTGAGGTCGAGATAGGGCACAAGGAGAGGAGCCAGCAAGAGCTTCCAGCTCATCCCCAGCTCAGTGCCAGCCCTCACCATGAAGCATCCCAAGCTCTCACCTGGATAATGAACCTCTCACATCCTCCAAGCTCAGGTGGCCTCCAGTCCACGGGTGGGAGGTGAGGAAGGCTCCTTGGTGGCCACAAGCTCTGCCAGGATGCAGGAGATGCCAGCTCTGAGCAACCATCACCCGGAGACACGCAAACACGTGCAGCACATTTCACTCGCCCACTCCAAACCACTAATTCCACCTGACTTTTGCACTGGCTTCTGTGGGATGATGAAGGTTGGAAAAAACCCCAAAGTGGATTTTGAGGAGCTGCTTCTACCACTGGAGCAGGACCCAGCCACCCACATCCCGTCTCCCTGTGCACCCTGCACCCTCCAGCTGCAGTTATTGAACGCAGGATGAGAATCATCCTTGGAATCATTGCAACCACAACTCCCAGCGACCCCTTCCTCGTCTCCTCTGCCCAGGAATGGCCACTGGGCTCATTGCTGCTGATGCAGGAGGTGCCAGGCAGGCAGCAGGCACGGAGATGGACACAGACCTCCAAGTACCATCCTGATGATGCAGCTGCTATAAAAAGAAAACCATCAGTGTAAACCATGCTCATACCAGAACTGCCCAGGGAAGTGTGAACTTTCCTGGAGCTGTTGGATGCCACAAGGCTCCTGCAGCCTGGGGCAGGTTTGAGGTAGGGAGGAACAAGCCCAGAGCTGGGGTTTGGTTTGTTCTGCTGCACTGAAGCGACAGCACACGGGGCAGGCAGGAACAGGTCCTGAAACTCAGCTCCAGAGTCCTGGGGTCAGTTCTGGGCTACTCACAACACCGAGGGGCTGGAGCATGTCCAGGGAAGGGAACAGAGCTGGGAAGGGGCTGGAGCAGCAGGAGCAGCTGAGGGAGCTGGGAAAGGGGCTCAGCCTGGAGAAAAGGAGGCTCAGGGGGCCCTTCTGCCCTGACAGGAGGGGACAGCCGGGGGGAGTTGGGCTCTGCTGCCAGGGAACAGGGACAGGAGGAGAGGGAACGGCCTCAAGTTGTGCCAGAAGAGGTTTAGGTTGGATATTGAGAAATTTCCTCCATGGAAAGGGAGGTGAGGCCCTGGCACAGCTGCCCAGGGCAGTGGTGGGGTCCCCATTCCTGAAGGGATTCAGAAGCTGTGTGGATGTGGCACCTGGGGACACTAGTTGGGGGCGGCCTTGGCAGTGTTGGGGAAATGATTGGACTCGATGTACTTAGAGGTTTTCCAACCTTTACAATTCCATGATCCTACCTAGGGATGCAGGAACTGTCTGTGCCACGAGCCAGCGCTGCTGGGATGCTGGTGCTCCCCCAGCCAGCCCTGCTCATCCTCTCCAGCTGCTCCAGCAGCAGTTGACACTTCCAAGTGCCATATAAAGATTAATTCTGCCACCACATAACGAGGTCATTAAGGCTCATATTAAGGTGGTTGGGACTGGACTGAGCCAGCCTTTGGTTTAAGCCCAAGTGGCAAAGCAGCACAGCTGGGACACCCCAGCCTTGGCAGCAGCCTCAGCTCCCTCCAGCTGCAGGGATTCGGGGAGCACACCCTGCTCCTTCCTCTGGTCAGGGGTGGGGGAGCTGTGGGCAGTGCCTGGCACACGCCCCTGGAGCTGGCCCTGGCACGCTGCAGCCTCTCCTTGCAGCCACAGTGACAGCAACGAGATGAAATGTTTAAAATAACCCCAGCGATGCAGAAGCTGCGTCATGGATTGTTCTGTCTGTGCTCCAGCTCTGCCGGCCCTGCACTTGGATGGGAACATTTGGGCTGGCCTTGCATCCTGCCAGCCAGGCCAGTGTCACCCTGGGAGCAAAACCAGTGCCCAGCACAGGAGAAAGCACTGAAAAAGATGCAACGTGTGTGATTCCCATCCCTTTGCTGGCTTTAAAGTGTGAATAACTCCTTGCAGAGAAGGAAGCCCTGAGCATGGCAGAGAGGGGCAGAGCAGGGCTGCAGGCAGGGGCTGCCCACGGGCAACAGCCTCAAACGGGCACCTGCCCTGTGGGCATGGGGGGCCAGGGCCTCCCTGCTGCTCCAGCTCCTCTATTTCCACCCTGGACCCCACTTCTCAGGCACAGGATGGGATTGTTGGGGTGTCTGTGCAGAGCCAGGGGTTGATGATCCTCGTGAGTCCCTTCCAGCTGAGGATATTCTGTGGTTCTCTCCCTGTCCCTGCTCTTTTCTTTCTTGCTCCAAGGCTGAGGGAGGCTCAGGCATCACTCCCATTTCCACCCGTCCCCCACCCGCTCCTGGCCCACTGGCTGAGTATTTTGGAAAGTGTTGGAAGGCAGCAGTGAGTCACACACAGCTGCAGTGCCTGGCAGGCTCTGCTGGCCCCCGGCCACCCCCGGGGTCACGGCACCCCCGGGAGCTGTGAGCGGCTCTGGGGGGTGACGAGCCCCCATTCTGTCCCCAGCATCTCCAGCAAAGAGCTGACCGAGCTCATCGAGCGCCTGCAGAAAAATGCTGACCAGGTGGAGAAAAACATCGTGGAGACCGACTCCCGAATGCAAAATGTAAGCAAGGCACTGTCCCACGCTCCCAGGCTCCTCCTGGCAGCCCCATCTCCCCTCTGCCTCCTGCCCCAGCCCTTCGCACTTCCTCTCCTGTGGCACATGTGGGTGGCTGCCCAGCCCTGGTACCTGCATTGGGATGATCTTTAAGGGTCATTTAAGGGTAATTGGGCTTCCCCTGCTCATGGGAAGAGGGTGGGAGGGTGTTCCAGGGCCCTGAGTTCTCCCCTAGCCAGGGGGACAGTACTGTTCAGACTGGGGACGTGCATCCCGGCAGGGAGCTGGGGTGGAGGAGGAGGAGGAGAGGCCTGAACCATCCTCCTCATCCCAAAGGATCACCCCAAGGTGCTGCAGCTCCCCAGCCCCTCCCCAGCAGGTGAGATTGGATGGGACTTGGAGCAATCTCATCAAGTGGAAGGTGACCCTGCCCATGGCCAGGGAGTTGGAGCTGGATGGTCTTTGAGGTCCCTTCCAACCCAAACCATTCCATGATCCTGTGATAGGAGAGGGGAAAGCAAAATACATCCCAGGTTGATGGGAAACAGCAGAGCTCCTGCCCCTCTCCAGTGCCAAGGGAGAGTGGGGTGGGATGACCTCTGGGGGACCAAGGGGTGACCCTTTCTCCTGTCCCCACCGTGCAGGACCTGCACAAGATCAAGGCGTGCCAGCTGGCTCAGTACAAGGAGCTGACAGCACAGAAACTCTCCGAGTCCGACAAGCTGCTCTACGTGCTGGATGGGGACGCGGCCGTGGCCCGGCACATGAAGCACCCCCAGGGGGACATGATCACAGAAGAGTGAGTGCCACGGGGACACCTGTCCCCAGAGCCCTTGGACTGGGGGGAGGCTCTCCAGGGGCTCTGCTCAGCTGCTGCCGGCAGTGGGGGGGTCACAACCCACATTAGGCTGTGTGCCCACCCTGGGCATGGGGAGTGTGACAGGATGGCAGCGTGGCAGGGTGGCACCTGCCCGCTGTGCCCCACGCTCTGCCCCAGGTCCAGCCTGCCCGGAGCTCACAGGGGCAGCCCCTGGCAGAGGGCAGAGCACAGGAACCTCGGCCCTTTCTCTGCCTGGCCACTGCATGGTGCAGCTGCTGCCAGCCTGCCTGGGCTCTCCCCCATGGGGGCCTGGGGGAGAACCAGCTACACCCACCAGAATTAATGCCAGCCCCTGCCCACATCCTGCATCCCACACTCACCTTTCCCTTCCCGCAGCATCCGGCAGCTGAAGGAACGCGTGGCAAACCTGAAAGTGAAACACGAGCAGATCTACAACTTCCCCCTGCAGCACATTGAGCCCCAGGTCAACTGGTCAACAGTGATCGAGGAGAAACAGGTACCAAGGGGGCCACCAGGGCCACTGCCTGGCCAGTAGCACCAGCTGGGCAGGGACTCCTGCAGCTCCCCATGGAGAAACTGGCTCTTGGAAAGCTTCTGGGCAACTCCACACTGGGAGCAGCAAACAGCTGGGTAGCAGGGGAGGGGCAGAGATGGTGGGACCAGGAGCCAGTGCTCGAGGTGGCACCGGTCCTGGCCTCAGCATCCCCACTCACTGCCTGCTTTAGGATCTACTCCAAGGCCCTTATTTCTTATTTTCTCCCACTCCCTACACTCTTCCAAGCAGAGAAGGCCTTAACCCCCCCAAACTGTTTTTTCCATGGCTGGGAAACACAGCACACTTTGCAGCACAGCTGATTTCACCCATGTGTTCCTGGGGCATCCATACACTGCAGCCACTGGAGCCCATCCAAGCCCAGCCCCATGGCCACCTCCAAGAGGAGTTTCCTAGGTCCTGGCAGCCTCACCCCATTCCCCCACTGCTAACCCCAACTCCTGTGCACCCCAGGACGCGCTGAGCAGCAAAGGCTTTGGGACTGACCTGCCTCTGGTCAACAGCCAAGTAGAAGAGCACAACATCTTCCACAACGAGGTCATGGCCATCGGGCCACACATCGTCAAGGAAGGCAGCAAGGTCAGCTCTCCTGCCCCTCTCCCTGCTGCCCTGCAGAGTCAGCCCTGCCCCGAGCCCTGGATGAAGGGGAGGGTTTCCCACCATCCAGGGTGCTGCAGCCTGGTGCAGGTCTGGGTGGGTGTCCAGATCCCCTCCCAGTCTGAGAGCCCAGCATCACACACCAGCTCTGGCTTTACAGTGAGGCAAATCCCATAAACCACATCCCCTTCCAGCCTAAACCCACATCCCTCTGCACCCTCGAGCCCCTGGCACACCATCACTCTCCTGACACCGCTCCTAACCCTTCCTTCTCATCCAGGAAAACATGAACGACTTCCAAGCCAAATACCAGAAGCTGCTGGTAAGAGCCTCTGGGATCCTGGGGGAAGAACCCTCCTGGAGGGGTCCCTTGTTGGGGTGGCCAGGCACCCCTGGGGGTCCCACAGAGAGGAGCTTTGGGCTGATCTGTCCCATTCCCCTCCTCAGGCCGGCTCCCAGCAGCGGCAGCAAGACCTGAACTCGCTGCAGGATTACATGCAGCGCTGCACCAACAAGCTCTACTGGCTGGATCAGCAGGCCAAGGACAGGACCCATTACGACTGGAGCGACCACAACCTGGACTACCCCAGCCGGCGCCGCCAGTACGAGGTCTGTGTGATCCCGGCAGCCTGGCCCTGCTCCGGCTGCTGCTGGCCAAAGGAGAGCAGGGCATGGGGCCAGGGGTCCCCCGTGCCTCAGTTTCCCCCAGCCCATGGTGACGGGCTTTGAGGTGTCCAGCTGGTAATACCGGGACAGTGAGGTTGATCCTTACCTCTGCCAAAGATAACGTGATGGGGAAGTGTTCCCATGATAGAACATCATCACCCTCACCCTCCTGGCCTTTATCTCGGTGCTGGCTTGGCAGCAGTCACATCTTTAGCAACATCTGCAAGGGAAGGAGAAGTGAAAGCTGCAGTGGGAGAACGGCACACTTTGTCTTGTGGAGCTGCTCAGCTCCACACTGCCGCCAGGGTCCCCTCCCTTTGCATGGCATCAATATCTCACCTTTCTCCATCCAGAACTTCATCCACCGGAAGCTGGAGGAGAAGGAGGAGGCCATCAACAAGCTGCACGCTGATGGGGATCAGCTGCTGGCCCAGAACCACCCTGGGAAGAATGCCATCGAGGTGAGCACCAGGGATGGGTCCCAGCTCCCCAACCCCCTGGAGCATGGGGGACTCACCCAGCCCTTCTCCAGAGTGGGACCCGGTGCCAACACCACTCGTGACTTTAGTTCCTGAGATGCCAAGGGCAAAAAAGCCTCCTTCACCTGCAGAGGTGTAAATACCACAGGAGGAGGAAAGATAAACTTAAGGAGCTCTTCCCATCTTCCTCATTCCTGTGGCAGTTACCCTGTGCCCACCTAGAGAGGATAAATGATGGTGGAACTCCTCCCTGCCTGGCAGGAGGATGGACACAAGGATTTGCCACCGGCACACAGCCTGTGCTCCCATGGGATCATCTCAGGTTCCCCCTGAGAGCATCTGGGTGGCTCCAGAGGCAGCCAAAGCTCACTCAGGATGGCAACTGGGACTTGTCCCTGTCACAGGGGTCTCGCTGATGTCCCCCTCCCACCCCTGTGTTGCAGGCTCACATTGAGGCGGTGCACGCTGACTGGAAGGAGTACCTGAACCTGCTGATCTGCGAGGAAAGCCACCTGAAGTTCATGGAAGACTTCCACAAGGTACCACATCCCTTGTTGGAGCCTGGAGAGCGGGTGCTTGAGATCCTAGAATACAAAAATTCTTCCCATTCTGGAAATTGGGTAGAAGAGATGGAGTGCTCTCTAAAACTGGGATTTTTAAGGCTAGGAGAGCACCTTGAGCTGATAGAACAGAAGTCATAGTTGCTCAGGTGCCTAAGGTCAGTGCTTGCTTGGCCAAAGCACGACTTGCAGAAAGCTTCTGCTCCAGCACTGGGTTTCATGAGGCACTGTTGGTGTCAACTTCCTTGTCCCCAGGACAGCAGAGATCCCTCAGCCCCAAACACGGCATGGGGAGAGCTCGCATGCTCCACTGGGAAGCAGAACAGGTCCATGTAGGAAATCCCAGCTGCCACAAGCTCCCCCCAGGGAGCCTGGCAGAAGGGCTGAGTGTCCCAGCTGAGCTGGGCCGACAGATGTCTGCTGGATAAATGGAATCTGACAGCCAGGGAGGCTCTGCAGGGGAGCAGGTCGGGCTGGATTCCTCTCCCACAGCCTGGGCGTGTTCACCACCCCATGAGTCTCCTGCCAAAGCTCAGCCGTGGTGCCCAGCCCAGGCAGTGCCTTTCTGGGGATGTGCCAGAACAGCTGCCCCAGGGGATGGTTTGTGTGTGGAAGGGCTTGGCTCTCCCTTCTCCTGGCGCTGGCAGTGGTGGCACCACACACCGTGGTGATGCTGTCCCAGGGAAACAGAATTGAGGGCAGGGAAAGGTGGGACTTAACAACTCTGCATGGAATAATAATCTCTTCCTGGTTGTTGTTCCCCTTGAGCTGATGTCCTGAGCAAGGGAAATAGTGACCCTCGTCTTTCTCCACATATTCTGGAGGTCCAGATGCTCAGAGTAGCTCCTGGTGGCTGTGTGAAGACCATGAAGGGTCTGCTCCGTGTTTCAGCCTGGAAACCTCTCTCACAAGAGGCTTTTCCTTTCTGCAGTTTCAGAAGGACACTAAGGATGCTCAGGAGCTTTTGAAGAAGGTGGATACAGACCTGGACCAAAAATTCAGCCCGGAGTTCAAGGACAGATACCAGCTGGAGTCTCTCCTCCGGGAGCTGGATGTGAGTGGCTGCAGGCAGGAGTGCAGGGGAGGCAGCAGCAGGAACCACTGTCCCCAGGGATGTCCTCGCCCGTGTGGGCACCTGGCCCAGCTTTCTCCACGGGCAGCAGCAGGGCTGTGCTGCTGCCTCCCCGTGCCCGGCCTTCCCCCAGCTCTTCCTTCCCCCCTGGCTAGAGATTGCCTCTCCCCTAGCAACGTAATTGCTCACTGGGCTGGTTTTTATTTGTTCTCTCATTGAGTTAGCGCTCGTTAAGGGTGGGAGCATAATTAGACCTGCTGCCAGAGGAGGTTGTGGAACTCGCTGTGCTGCAGTGAGCTGGGCTGGAGATCGCCCACTTGGGAAGGGCTGTGCCGAGCCTGAGCCCGAGCCTAAATCCAAGCCCAAGTCCAAGCGTGCTGCAGCAGGCCCAGCTGATGCAGGTGTCCCAGGACAGCTGATAGCCCTTCCCAAGAATTGTCCCCTCTCCTGCATGTTCCATCCCACTCAGCATCTCGGGATCTCCACCTTCTGAGGCAGAAATAAAGCAACTGCCGGAGATCCTTGTGGCAGGGCTGGAATGAGTCCTGGGAGTGGGGCTATCCACCAACACACAGCCACGCAGCTGTGGGCTGTGCACCAGGGAACCCTGCCACTGTCTGCTGGCACAGCAACCCCTGGGCACAGTCCCAGTCCTCAGCCGGGCTGCAGAAGGAGGTGGGAGAGTGCAGGAGCACTTGGAACAGGAACACAGGGCTGCAGGAGATGCCTTCAGCACAGGAGAAGCAGCAGTCTCTGTCCCGGCCGCGTGGGAATGAGCTCCTCCCTGGCTGTGAGAGCCCAGGAGTTCGTTCTTTCCCTGTTTCCTTACTGCTTCTTGTTGTTGCCCCTTGCCAGGACCAGGAGAAGGCCTTGGACAAGTACGAGGCGGTGGTGAAGTCTCTGCAGGAGCGCAGCCAGCAGGTGCTGCCCCTGCGGTACCGGCGGCAGCCGCCGCCGCAGCCCGTCCCCGTGGAGGCTCTGTGCGAGTACGAGGGCGAGCAGGTACCGCCACCCTCCGGGACGGGACACGGCTCTCAGGCCAGTGACAGGGCCGCTGGGGGAAGGAGCAGGTTGTTCCAAGCGGTGGTGCTGGATTCTGCAGGGGGAACGAGGCAAAGGTCGCCCTCGGCCCAGTGGGAAGAGCGGGAGGAGCAGGAGGGGTCCGGGGGAAGCGCAGCCTCGCTGCCTCTCACACACCCTCGGGATGTTGCGACAGCACAGCTCTGTCACATTCCCACGCTCCCTGAGCTGATGTCCCGGCGTGTTCCTGAGCAAAGGAACGCCCCAGCAGCACCACCATTCCCACCTGGCCATTCCCAGTGCACATCCCCTCATCCGCACCGGCGGCGGCTGCCGGGGGCCTGAGCCGGCCAGAGGGATGGGACAGCACAGCCACAACGGGAGTGGCAGGGCTGGGACAGGAGCCAGCAGTTCCAGCTAACTCAGCTGCCGGCTTCTCCGAAAAGGAAATCCAGAGCACAGCCCGGGGAACGCCTCCTCATCTCTGCCCGAGTGGGAATTCACTCGCCGCGGCTGTGGCAAGAGGCACAGCTCGGTGTCCGCAGGCTGCGGGAGGGAGGAACAGGCACATGAGCTCCTGCCAAGGGACGGGCTCTCGGAGGAGCAGGGCTGGGGCTCTCGGAGGAGCAGGGCTGGGGCTCTCGGAGAAGCAGGGCTGGGGCTCTCGGAAGAGCAGGGCTGGGGATCCTGGCCGTGC